CTGACTGGGTTTAGAGGCTCAGACCCCTCCAAAATCACTGTCCCACGAGGGGCTTTGATACTGGGGTCACTTTCCGGCACTCATTATTTACCCACAAACGCCCTAATTTAACCTCCAATGCTTTTCAATCCACATCCAACGCTCTTTTATGACCGGAGAAAGTAATGACGCAGCCGCCCTCATCGAGGGACTGAGTCTAAAGCTGGGTCTACCGAGCAACAGGGGCGTGGTTTAACAACGTTATCAGACTCAGTCCTCGCGATGAGTGGATGAAGGTTAACCCGGTCTGGAATGCTGCCTCCACCACTAGGGAGAAAGGAATGTGAAGTTGAGTATTGGTTTCTAATGCTTTCTGGATATTCTATTTCACATTCAATATGCATTCAGCATATTGTTCCATGTCCATAGAGAAACAGAATGGAGGTCATTAGGACAAAGCATCTCCATCCCAACTATTTCCCATTCCCTCGACAAAGAAGCAAACAGAAATTGTTGCAGCACGAGGCCTTAAAGATGGCATGAAGATTTAAGAGTTGACCTCGTGTTCTAGATATGTCAGGGTAAATAGTTCAGTCTTAGCTCCCCGTACACAAATATTTGCTTCAATCATATTGACTAGTTGAAAGATCAGCTCTGCAAGTTTTAGACTTCTTCATAAAAGAACAGATTCTACACAACTCAGCTAGAAAGAAGATTGTTTTCTGCTAGAAGCTGAAAGAGGCTGCTGGACAGGAAAGCAAACAGTTAAATAAAACTGAGTTTTCCTTATATTGAAATTTAGACTATAGAATATAGAATAACAGAGTTGGAAGGGACACTGGAGGTCTTCTAGTCCAACCCCCTGCTTAGGCAGGAAACCCTGCACCACTTCAGACAAATGGTTATCCAACATCTTCTTAAAATCTTTCAATGTTGGAGCATTCACAACTTCTGGAGGCAAGTTGTTCCACTGGTTAACTGTCCACTATCAGGGAATTTCTCCTTAGTTCTAGGTTGCTTATCTCCTTGATTAGTTTCCATCCATTGCTTCTTATCCTGCCCTCAGGTGCTTTGGAGAACAGCTTGACTCCCTCTTCTTTGTGGCAGCCCCTAAGATATTGGAAGACTGCTGTCATGTCTCCCCTGGTCCGTCTTTTCATTGAACTACTAGACATACTCAATTCCAGCAACCGTGTTCTTCATGTTTTAGCCTCCAGCCTCCTAATCATCTTTGATGCTCTTCTCTGCAGTCTTTCTAGAGTCTCAACATATTTTTTACATCATAGCAACCAAAACTGGCTGCAATATTCCAAGTGCGGCCTTACCAAGGCTCACTGGAGAAGCACATGCTCTTTTGTTTCTGGGGGCCGAGAGAGAAGGGGGCATTGTATTATAGCTTGAAATGTGTTACGGAAATGAACAAACCTTGAATTCTTTGGTAAACTCAGCATCTTAGCATTGCTATCATCCCTCCGGCCTTCAAACGATAACAAGAG